CCTGATCATCCAGGCAGATTCTCTGTTCATAAACAGGTTCTGAGCGTCCAGAGTCTGACTGGACGTTGTTACTGGGAGGTGGAGCGAACTGGGAGAATAGTTGGTGTCGGAGTTTCATACAAGGACGTGAGCAGAACAGAAGAATTTGGACAAAATGACAAATCTTGGTGCTTATATTGTGACCTCGTCTGTAACGTATTTTACCACAACAACGTTGTAACTCAACTACCAGGTTCTGATTTCTCCAGGATAGGAGTGTATCTGGACCACAGAGCAGGTGTTCTGTGTTTCTACAATGTCTCTGGATCCATGACTCTGATCCACAGAGTCCAGACCAGATTCACTCAGCCTCTGTATGCTGGAGTTACGCCTCTGTGGTTTGGAGACACGGCTGAGTTTATTAAACCGAGATAGTCATCAGTGATCTGAGGTCCAGCTGGTTTAAATGTTTATTTTAGTTCCAGTTCATTGTTTTTTCTTCACTGATCAGAGACCAGCTGTCTTTATGGAGCTACTTTATCATCTTGTTTGTTTTGTTGATGTTTGTTTGGGTGCTGCCCCTGCCTGTTTCTGATCTAAGGATTTTTATTCACCACCTGATTACATTTACATTTATTACTCTTGTCAGACCAAATGCTGTTGATCAAATCCACTTATAGATGAGTGATGGAAACATGATGTAAAAACATCCTGATTGTTTTTTTAATGCTTGTTGGTGCTGCATTGTGATTTGCTGCATTTCTGTTTATGACATTTTATTATTATTAGTCAGAGTTTTGAAGTTGTTTTTCAGTATTCCAGTTTCTTTCATTATAATGTATTAGTTGATTATATTTAGATTTTATTATTCATTTGCCCTTCTTTTGTTGCATATTTGTAGTTTATGTATAAGGTTTATTGGTTGACATATATTTTTAAAATAAATTCTCATTCTTTGGAGATAAATTATTTGTCTTTATTAAAGTGAATGTGTTCAGTGTCAGACCTCCTGTTGTGTTACATTAGATTATTCACAAGAGACTGAAAATGTTTGGCTAATTTTTCCTGATCTTGTCCAGCTTTTTTAACTCCACTTTTATTAATAACTTAATCTTAATTATTGATATTTGTTTAAGCCAAACATTGTTGCATCCCTGTTCCACAGCAAAGCCATTCAACCCAACTTCCCTGATCCTCCAGGAGACAGACAGGCCCACAGCATCACTGATCCTCTACCATAGCGAACACTGAGGCTGACAGGCTTTTCCACATTCATTGGTTGTTTCTTATCAAACCCTCCTCAGTGCTCATTGCTGAAAACATCATGTCTACTTTTGATATTAAAAGACAGAAAAGCCTTTCTTTTTATCATCTCGCTCACATTGAAGCATTTAGTGTTTAATGTTTAAAGCCAAATATAAAATCCTCCAACATCTCCATCATGGCTGACAGTAGACAGCAGAGATGAGTTGATGTGTCAGGAAGAGTTTAGGGGACATGATGAGTCACAGCTTTGATCCTGTGACACAGATGAACAGGGACATCTAGTGGCCGCCTCTCGGTACTGCAGAGGAAAACAAAATAAACAGGGATGCGTCAGGTGACAAGAAAAGAGAAATTTCCTTTTGATTAAACATCATCTGCTCTTCTGCAGCTACAGGATTATTTTAAACTGACAGACAGAAGAAAGAAAATATAAAGTCCATCATGAAGGAAGGAAGATTCAGAGAAACTCATCGATCTAAATACTGATAATACAGAAAGAGAAGGAGCGTCTTAAAGAGACAGTAGCTCAATTTCCAGAAGTTAAATTGGGAAGTCAACTTTATTTTAGGTTATGTTTCATAAATAACTAATTCCTATACCAAGTTAGCAGTACTTGATTGTGGTACAAAATGACACTATGTGACTGGAAAATACCTTTTAACACATGCAGGAATGTTCACAGATAAGACACTAGGTGGGGCTAGAGCACCAACATTTTTCCCTCAGGAAAAATTGTCCTGAATGTTTTTATGTCTGGTTTTGTTTTTTAACAGTGTATTGTGTACCAACAGGGCCGTGCAGAGACCCCTGGAGGGAC